CGGCGATTCTCTTCATCTTTCTGAAACAGCAAACATACCAAGTCTGATTGGGAAACAGCTGCCTTTAGAGAAGAAGTGCACACAGTGTGCATGACACCACTCAAGACAGATTAAAACATTCACCCTCAGCACAGAGCGACTACATCAAATCAATATTGGCAATCTACTGTGTCATCCAACCCAATTCTCCTTGCCTTTTTAATGGACCTTTCAAATAAATCATTCAGGTCAGTATAATGCACAACTCCAAATTTCTTTCTAGTCAATCCATCCGTCATAGGAGTGACAGGTCCAAACAGCAAGCCATTTAAAACATGACAAAGAAATGAGGTGCCTAGCTGAGAAAGTGCAAGAGTTTTTTCTAAATATCAAAGTGCAGTTCCCTACTAGCTCCCATGCCCTATCAGAGTAATTCATAGCATTTTATCCGGCGCAAGTAACAAAAAGCAAACACTAATACATTTTTTGTCCAACTGCCTGAAATTTCCCTGCTCTTTCTTGATTTATACTTCAGTTTCAAAGATCGGCCAAATAAATAGGTCGTACAGCGCTTCCCAAAGGTGCCCAGATTTGAACTTCAACAAGTCTGTAGAGGGAAGGAGTTCCATAACTAGGGAGACAACCAGTACACCTTCATACCTGTGATGTTTGAAATTGACACACAGATCACAGTAGTTAGAGGGCATCCTTAATGTCTATCAGAGATTCTAAAAGGGCAAGTGGAAGAGGAAGCCTCTAAAGCAGGGGTGGCCAAACTTGCTTAACGTAAGAGCCACACAGAATAAACGCCAAATGTTTGAGAGCCGCAAGACATGAACAAATATTACACACACGTTTTTACTGGAAAATATGCAAATTTGCTTTTTATTAACATTAGACTGTGTGAAAGAGCCGCATGTGGCTCCCAAACTGCAGTTTGGCCACCCCTTCTCCAAAGCATGTAAAGCTTAAACTATGTCACTTTGACAGGGTTGGATCTGGCAATCTGCAGACACTTGGACTGTGGGATCTCCCCTGACCCAGTTTTGATCCCAGAAACATTTATTATCAGGTTTGAGTACTCGCATATGCCAAAAGCCACATGGGTCAGGTGGCTACAGAGAGGAAGGTATAGAAGTGCCCCATTCTTTGTCTTCTGTCAGTGGAACTCCATTCATGCAAGAGGAAGAAAGGGCCATCTTGTTCCCTTCCCCCTCCTGACTACAGCAGCCTGATTGGTGCATCTATGAGTACACTAGTCCCTAGACCTGGGGCATTAACTTTACTGGGATCAGAAACTGTTCTAGGGGATGGTTTCCAGGATCCAAGCCATGGTTTATAACTAGCACCTCCATTTGGTCAAGGAGAACCAAAAGCCACTGCAAGACCACTGGTGTGGCAACACATTTTCTAGAGAAAAATCCACAAAGTACTTTGTGGAAGAAGTACCAACTCTAAACATGACCAAGACATTTATAGCCGTTTTCGTATCAATTGTCACAAAATACAAATAATAAATAGCAGCACTTGATCACCTGCCATTTCAACTCACATCCTACTCTCCAATTATGAAGAGGAAGCCAATCATTTGACAATCTGCATGTATCCAAATGAATTTGGATGAGTTTGTTTGCATGATCATGGAACTCTGGTATAATTTTCTTGCCAGTGCCACCTCCCACCTCTTATTTTTAAAAAGGCACATTGTAAAACAGAAAAAAAAGTCTGAGATTTGAGTTGATACGTACTTCCTAGTGTCTGTGTTCCCTCAGTGTCAGCCAGTCAAACCATGAATCTTGTGATCAGTTTTTGATCTGCTAAATGCACAGTGCAAAAAGCAGGCAATGCAATCTACTGATGTGGAACATTTGATCAGCAGCTGCTAAGTGGTGATCAATTACAGGATATTCTATGCTTTAGGAAAGGGCCAAACTATGCATTGTGCTTGACATGATTTGCCAATAGGGACTTGTGGTGATACTGCAGCTGCAACTTCTCAGTGGCAACTCCTGTGTAAAAGCATTGCAGAGGCCCAATTCAGAACAAGACTGCAGTGTAAGGAGAAAAAGGGCTCCTGCCTAATCCCTGTGCCTTTTCCAGGAGCTGAAACAGCCCAGGGACCACATTATTTGCCTGGGGGGGGTGTATAACAGGGCAAATAACACACACCAGCAGGTCTTGGGCTGTTTCAGCTCCAGAAAACAGCACAGAGGAAGGCAGGATCCCCTCCTCCACCCTGTGGCACAGTCCTGATTCAACCTAGGCCCCTGCTGTGCTTTCAGGAGGTGCCACTGGGGACTCTCAGTTGTGATATGACTGCCAGTCACAATGGTGAACTCATGTAAAGTGTAACATGTAGTTTGGCCCTAAGGCAGTCAGTCCAAATAACCATGACCCTGGAGGAATGCCACTTCTAGTTCAGTTAATGAGATGATTCAGTTCAACTGGGCAAAAGCAGCTGCAAACCCCAAGCAGTTTCTGCTCAACATGGTATTACATTCAAGACAAACTTTGCCAGAGAATACTGGGGTAATTCTACCCGGAGCTCACCTTTTGTGTAACTGAGGGAGTCTGAACAAGGTACATTTGCCTAGTGAATATGTTCACTGCATAGTTCTCAACATATCCAATAATAAACCTTCTCCATTAGCTTTAAAACTAGTAGCTCCTGCCCGACAAGGTACAGGACCAACTATGTGAAGACAAGGGGAAAGAACTGCAAGACCAGCTTAAGCAAGAACAAACCATTTGAACCATATGTAAGTGGTACGAATTAAATACATAACAAACCTCTGCTTTGGCCCAGAAGTTATCTTTACTAACTCTCTTGATCTCAGACAGGGCATTTGTTTTCTGGTAGACAGATCCCTGTTATATAAAGAGAAATATATTTATTGAAACAATTTAATCACTATTTTTAAACAAATGCCAGCAAGTTGGTAACATACTTTGTACCTTTTAAGTTACCGTACAGAGAATAAATTTTCCTCAAAGCATTTTTTATTCTACCCAAACCACTCATGAGGCAATTCCATCCCCGATTTGATAAGAGATCTTATGCAAAAAAGTAACATCAGCGCATTAAGGCAATGCAGAACTGCCGTATGAAAGCTCAGCTTTGCAAGTAATCACAAGCAACATGCAGGACCCAAAACAGATTTACTAAACAGTCTGCCTCCTCTGAGTGTCACACCATAGCCTGGAGAGGCAAATCTGAAAAGCTACATGTGCAGAAACAATGATTATTTACTCTGGGTGAAATGAATTCATAGAACATGATACAGAAATTGTTAATCAGTTTGGAGTCATGGTTAGGAGCATGGACTCTAATCTAGGAGAACCAGGTTTGACTCCCCACTACTCCATATGCAACTGCTGGTGTGACCTTGGGTCAATCACAGTTCTCTCAGAGTTGTTCTCTCCAGAGCAGTCCTCGAAAGAGCTCTCTCAGCCCCACCTACCTCACAGGGTATCTGTTGTGCGGAGGGGAAGGGAAAGAAAGAGAAGAAAAGAGAGAGAGATTGGATTTATATCTTACCCTTCACTACCCAAAGGAGTCTCAGAGCAGTTTACAATCTCCTTTCCCTTCCCCTCCCAAGAGATAGTAAGCCGCTCTGAGGCTCCTTCTGGGTATAAATCCAATCTCTTCTTCTCTCCTCCTCATAATGATTTAATGATACTATATTGCTGACTAAAAAAATACAAAAAAGCTGCCCCTCGTGGTGGGGGAAGAAATGGCCACAGTGGGGATAGGGGCAGGGAAAATGGCTGCCGTGCAGGTGGGACCTGGAAAAAGGCAAATTTTCCCATTCACACAGTAGGTATGCAGGCTTTGCTGCAATCTATCCCAAAACTCTGCAGCAAAGCAGATTTGGAAGGCTCAGAGAAAGGCCAGAGAAAACCTGGGAGGTGCATGAATGCACCACAATGCTATAAGGAGGCAGGGAGACTTCCTGACAGCATCAAACTCAGGGAAAATAACCTGCATGGAAAAGGACACTGAAAACTGAAGAAACAACACTTTCCTCTACCCCAGGGATTAAAAGACACAGGCATGAGGGCCCAGTGGAGGAAAAAAAGTGCTAAACAGTCTCAGCAACATATAGCCTAAAGCCAGCTAAAAGTTTCAAAGCAAAGGAGAGACATTCTCAATTTTCTTCTGCAAGACGAATTTTTTTATAAAAAGCTAAAAGAACCTCACATGCTTAATATGATTAAAGGCCTCTGCCTTAGTTCTCCAGAGTACAGTACTAATGGTTTACACTTCAGTTTCCTTAAACTGCACCCAACATTTCTTCCCTTACAATCACTGTCAACTTCTTTCTCATCACAGCAATTTCATCCAGCAAGCAGAAGAAAAGAACCCCACTCAACAGCCACAGCAAGATGTACAGAGAATAAATTGTTGTTGTTCAGTCGCACAGTCGAGTCCGACTCTCCACGACCCCATGGACCAGATCACGCCAGGCCTTCCTGTCTTCCGCCGTCCTCTGAGGTTTGCTCAATTTCATGTTCGTTGCATCTATGACACTGTCTAACCATCTCATCCTTTGCCGTCCCCGTCTTCTTTGACCTTCAGTCTTCCCCAGCATCAGGGTCTTCTCCAGTGAGTGCTCCCTTCTCATTTGGTGGCCAAAGTATTTGAGCTTCAGTTTCATTATCTGGCCTTCCAGGGAACAGTCAGGGTTGATTTCTTTTAGGACTGACTGATTTGATCTTCTTGCAGTCCAAGGGACTCTCAAGAGTCTTCTCCAGCACCATAGTTCAAAAGAATCTATTCTTCGGCACTCGGCCTTCCTTATAGTCCAACTCTCACAGCCATAAATGACTACTGGGAATACCATTGCTTTGACCATGCGGACTTTTGTTGGCAGGGTGATGTCTTTACTTTTTATCATGTGTTTAGGTTCACCATCACTTTCCTCCCAAGGAGCAGGCGTCTTTTAATTTCATGGCTGCTGTCACAGTCTGGGGTGATCTGGGATCCCAGGAACGTGAAGTCTGTCACTACTTCCATAACTTCCCCTTCTATTTGCCAAGGTGTGATGGGGCCAGATGCCATGATCTTAGTTTTTTTGATGATGAGCTTCAAGCCCACTTTTGCGCTCTCCTCTTTTACCCTGAGCAAGAGGCTCTTTAGGTCCTCTTCACTTTCTGCCATTAGAGTGGTATCGTCTGCATATCTGAGGTTGTTGATCTTTTCCCCAGCAATCTTAATAAATAAATAATGGTTCTTAAATGTGGCAGTGGACTAACTTCCCCACAAGAACCTACAAAGATTCTGGTGAGATGCTGCTTTGCATGTTATCACTGGTGGAGATTCAACAGAGGGCAAGGTGTGATAGGGACTTTTTGGTGGCAACATCAAGATTGTGCAATGTCTTCCCCTATGAAGCATGACTAGCATATTATTCAGCAGCCTTTAAGAGGGCAGTCAAAAACTTACCTCTTTTGCCAGGATTCTGGTTTGATGTAAGAGACCTTAAATCTCTGAAGGATGGTTGATGTTTATAACTACCCCAGCGGCTTCCTTGACAGATAATTTGTTATTTGTGGATTTTTCTCTTCTGTCTTGTGACAGTATTTTAACAAATAAAGCTCAGGTGCAAAGTCTGCTTCTATACAAGCCGCCCTGAGCCCATTTTGGGGGGTACAGCAGGGTATAAATAAATAAACAGTGCAAATAGTCCTTTTCCTCTTGGTTTCTACTTACCAATCTGAGCATGTATTACCCAAATCTGATACATTACCTCTGCCATTTTAAAAGCTCCCAGCATTTAAGTAAACCATCACTTCTCTGAAATCCATCTAGAAGTCTTCCATATCTTAACTATATACATTTTTTGCTAATATAAATACAGCATTACGTTGCTCTCTGTGTAGATACAGCCAAACTCAATTGTATCTAGGTCAATAACATGCAAGAGAATAATTTTAAGATTCAATATGACAAGTGAGGGAACTGTAGCAGTGCCCGCCATGACATCCAGAAGCAAGCAGCAATGCCTCAGGTTGTGCAATGTCCTTCCCTATGAAACATGACTAGTGGTTCCCACTCCCTCCCCCCCGGCTGTCCTCCTTGTCACCTGCCTGCAGCATTTGGGGAGGGGGAATGGAACCAGGTCTTCTTCCCACACCTTCTTCCTCACCATTCCTTGTTGCCTGCCTGCCCGCCCACATGCCTGACATATACAGTGACAGGCAGATGCTCCTCCTTTTTCCAAAGAGGCAGCTGACATAATGTCGCGAAACCTCAATCTTTCCTGAAAATGTTAATTTTTAAAACAATTTCTTTTTTCATATTTTTTTTTGCAATATCTGCCCCATTCTCTGGGTTTTTTGTTCTGCAAAGGGGCCAGGTTCAAAATTAGATATATGACATCTACCAATTTTCCACGTGCACTTCCCCAACAGAAGACAAGAAAACCACAATTACAGGGCCTTGCCACCAAACATACCAAAGTGTTCACACTGCTTCCAGCAAAGAGAACTGTAAGTCTTCTGCTGAGGTAATACGGTTGTACATTTTTAGCTGTTATTATATCAGAGACACGCCACTGAGGAAAACTTGTAATTAGAATTCCAAATGGGTTTCCAAGTGCTACCTTCAAATGTCTTTTCTAAATCTGCTTCCCACACCTTTGTATAGAAAAGCTGCATAAAAATCTCGCAAGTTTGAATCGAATTATATCATACAGATAATATACAGTATCGACTGTGATCACAAAACATTTCAGTCACGAAAGAGTTTTGAGTGGCACTGTGACTCCTATACGTGAAGAGTATGATGAACTGAAGATTATACCATGGTCTTACATTCTGCCAAGTCTTTCTACACACATTCTCAATAGGATGTTGACCCTGCCTCTTTAGGTTTTTGGTTTTTTCCAGAAAAAGCAAGAACTAATTCTAAATGTCCAAAGAAAGAAGCAGCCATAGATGACTTTTTAAATATATCAAGCAGGGATAACTTTCACATCTAATTCTGTAGAAGGGCTTCTTGCCCATCAGTCCCAGAGATAAACTTGCAGAATTTGCCAAGTAGGCCAGGAATTCTGCCTGGGGATATAAAAGTTACCTTTTTCTTTTTTAACCTTTGAGCCAATGCACTGAGATTTCAACACTGATCAAAGCAGATCCTCTGTATTATCACAATGAAGTTCCAAGACAAACAGTCTTGTGTGAAGCTGTACTCAGCTTACTTAAGGTTTACTTACAATGCAAGAGATAAATTTTGGTCCAAGTCCCAGGCAGAAGAGCCCAGCACCCCAGCTATTCATCTGAGTAACTGAGCACGCAATCCTAAACGGCTCTACTCAGAATTAAGTCCCATTATATTAAATGGGAACTTACTCCCAGAAAAGTATTCTTAGGATTTCACTGTCAGACCCAGATTCTCCATCCTGTATACCAGAGGAACTCACCACTGGAGGCTGAGGACTTGAATCCTGAAACTTGCTGCCTTCTTTGTGAAAGTTGTAGTTTGCTCCTGAAGCCTTGGCCACTTTCTCCATGATAACTTCAGGTTCCACATCCTCCTCAGCCCGAGCATTTATCGTCACATGAGCACCCTGTAAAACAATGCAGACAAAGTACAGCCGGAGGTCAGGAACGTATATCAAGGTGCTAACCGTAAAGCAAGCTTCCTGTGTATACCTCGCTATAGTCTATTGCCCCATAACAACTAGGGTTAAGCAGTACTGTTAGGGAGCTTACTTTTTCTGCAAAAAGCAGTACCCAGTCACCACAAGCCAGAGCTGTGAAGGGAAGAAATTCAAAACGAAGGAACTGACATGGCCAAGCAGTGTTTAAAAATCCCTATTTTGTTTTGTTTTTTTCCCTGCGCCAACTATAGAGATGCAGCAGATCAGAGTTTAGAGTGGTCAGCAGTCCACAAATTATAGCCTGGAGAACTATTAAGTCTAAAAAAGACTATGACAGTAGCTCAAAAGAGTCAAGAAAAGGAAGTGTGAATTAAAAATAGGACCTTCTTCCCCACCAGTATTCATTTTTAATGTTCACATGTTAAAGGAATAAACCAATAAGAAAATCAACTGCAGGCCACAGAATTCGGCATTCATGGTTACACATTCTAGTGTCAGGCAAATACCATTATATTTGTCTCTACTCCCATTCTGGAGGCAGGCTGAACTGCTTATATTTTGCTCTTGTTCCTAGCAAAGACAAGAACTGTGAATCATATGCACATTTTGGATGAGAATATCAGTTTTCATTTTTAAGACCTTCTCTGGCTCCCACTTTATGAAGTGCCTGCTAAACATGCAAAAACCAAAGTGAGTCTGAGGAAAAACTCAGCCCCCCATTCCTCCCCCTCTCCTTCAGCATTCCTTGACAAAATCTTCTGCAAAATGAACCAATTAGCATATGCAAAAATAAGCAGATTCTGCTTATCTGTGCAATGCATTCTGAGCACAGGGCTCGAGGTGGGGGTTAGTGGATATATTTGGGGCACAGACTATGACAGATGTGGACACAGGAAAGCCTAAGCTAGCATGGTGTACTGTTCGAATGTGTTTAGAAGGTAACATCTCCACTCAGGCCTATGAACTTGCCTTCATGTAGCCTGAACTGAATACTATGATCCAAGCCAAGCATCTGGGATACTTGGCAGGAAACAAATTAGTACTAAAAGGGTTAGAGGAGCCCAAAATTGTGAGAGAGTGATACTAAAGACTAAATGGAGGACTGAAATACTGCAAGCAAGCTCTTCCAGTTACTCAGTAATTCCCTCTCTTTAGGTTGTGTTGTATAGTTTGGTATCTGGTGCTTGCTTCATGGTCTTTGACTGGCTGGTGGCCAATACAAACTACTGGAATGTGAGTCACACCTCATCTGCCTTCGTGGGGTCTGAAGGAAGCCCGGTTTGCGGTTTGAATCTGGACACTGTGAGAAAACCCTGCAGTTTGCTGGCAAGCAGTAGCCTTTGGGAGATGCAAGAATGTGTTGCAGCTTTGGAGGGGTGGAGAGAAATCTGATGCTGTTTCAAGATTAGTATTCCCTGTTAGGGTGCCTGCCTGCTTCCTCCCCACTGCTCAACTTCTACACAGGTTATCATAACAGGACTGTACACTTTCAAGGCTCTCTCACCTTAAGGAAACTGGCCCAGTGTGCAGCCGCCCCAGAAACTTCCCACTCAAGGAAATGGGGAACACAAAGCATTATTTTTCAGCTTCCAAGAGGATTTGCCTTTTACACAAAGACTGCAAAGCTGTTTATGTGGGAGGGCATTCAATTGAAAGAAAAGGGGATTACGGAGAATAAAATGTAGATTAAATACCTTTAAGAAGTTTGCTACAGTGCTGACATGGTTGGCACAGGCTCCCTTTCTCACATCGTTAACACCTTCGCCAGTCTACCAAAAGGAAGCATCAGACATTTGATGTATGACCCCCCTATTTAACGGATAAGATACTGTACATACACGGAGCTGTCAACTTGCACATGGAGGACAAAGGATAAGGAAAAGAAGTATCACATAACAGACAAAAAAGTAGGTAGCTGTGTTGGTTTAAAGAAAAACCCAAAAAACAAAAGTAATTTAATACCTTTGATATTTAATACCTTTGATCAGGGGTGGCCAAACTGTGGCTCAGGAGCCATATGCGGCTCTTTCACACATATTGTGCAGCTCCCAGCAGAGCGGCTGGGGAAGTAAAGGGGAGGCATGTTTCCCCTATTGGTCTTCCCTTCTCCAGCCAGTGTTTCCCACCCTGAGTAGCCTTGAGGTGTGTGTGGGGGGAGCAGAGAAAGAATGTAACTAACTTTAAATGCATTCTCAAAGCCCCCCCCCCCAGGCTTGGAGGAGGCATTTGTCTCTTAGAATCCCTTCTCCAAGCCAAGCCAGCCAGCGCGGGGGGCTTGGAGGATGCATTTAAATTTAAAGTTGTTTCTTTCTACCTCTCCCTCCCCATCTAAAGTTAAATGTGTTCTCCAAACCCCACCAGACCAGCAGACTGGCTTGGCTCGGAGAAGGCATTTGTCTCTTTAATTTAATTTAATATGCTAATTTGTATTAAGTTCAATAAAAGCATGTGTGTTCATGCCTTGTAGCTCTCAAGCACCTGACATTTTTTCTATGTGGCTCTTATGTTAAGCAAGTTTGGCCACCCCCGCCTTTGATTAAGATCAACCAAAATAACACAACAGAGCATGCAAACTTTTGAGTTCTCTAGAACTCTTAATCAATCTAGATGTTAAAAAAGTATATGGGGGGAAACACCCTCAGTTAACTGAAAGCAAATATCAGAATGAGACAAATACCTAACCCTACTTTGCCTTCATTCAACTCCCCCCACCAGCCTATTTATATTAACTTTATTGATTTACTTTATTATTGGTGTATATTAACTTTACTGACTTTATTTATAACCATTTATCATTACAAGATCCCTCACCTACACCCTAGGCCAGAGACTGTTATGTAAAGAATGCACAGACCACTAAACTAGAGAAACAACCACTCCACTCCATTTTGTTTACTGATATCAAATCCCTCCAACTTCCATTGAAGGAGTGCTCATTGGGACAGCACTAAAACCAGGCAGCCCTCTACTGCACCTGAATTCCATTCCAGCAAAGACCCCCACCCTCCTCCAGCTTCCAGTTGCCATCCATGGGACCACCAGGAAGTGGGCAAGGAAGAACCAGGCAGCCCCTCCCTCTGCCTGAATTCAGCTGAGCTGAGAATCCCCTCTATGAAGAACATTTATACTGAACTTTAATCATAAGACTTATTACAGCCCTCATAACAAATGAGTTTGACACTCCTGGAGTAAATGAACTAAAAAAGCACAAGGAACATCTGCAGAACCTTTCATGTTTATGTAGTTTTCCCCAGAGAAGTCTTAGGGGCCTACCAACTAGCACCACTGAGGCAAATCTATTTACCCACTTTCCAGCAGCTAGTTTTCTTTCCGGACTGTTTATTCTTAAATATTACCATGTGTTTACTTTATCACTCAGCATTTCCCTGACAGTTATGATGTGTTTCAAGAGGAGCTAAAGATTGCTAGGCTGCTGGATCACTCTTGAATCTTTTGTGAGTCGCATTAAGGCTTAAAAAATTAACACTGATGTGAATACGTCTACTGTTCATCCAAAAGCATAAAAGTATATTTGTATTTTTAGTTCTTTAAATATTTAGGAATGTGATCTGAACAAATTAAAATATTTCACCAGCAGCCTACTCTGAGTAAAGAAACACAAGATGTGTAAAAACCTATAGTCAATGGGACTTGCCCCCACATCAAAAGTACACAGGATTGGCCCTGACCTGGACAGCCCAGGCAAGTCCAGTCTTGTCAGATCTTGGAAGTGAAGGACAGCCCCTGGCAAGTACTTGGAAGGACGACCTCCAAGGAATACCAGAGCCGGGACGCAGAGGCAGGTTATCAAGCCAACTCTCTGAAATGTCCTAGCCCCACTAGGGGTTGCCAGAAGTCACCATGATTTCTAGGCACGCAAGCGCACACACACAAAAAATACTCACAAAAATAGTAAAAAAAGAAGAAGTACATAGGATTGCAGCCCCAATGTTTCTGGCTTTTTCCACCTGGAGTCAGTCACTGGAAGAAGCTGAGGCTCAATGGAATACTTTGTAGACAGGTACCAGGTTCATTCCCCAGCATCTCCGGTTAAAAGGACCAGGCAGTAGGTGATGTGGAGGGTCTATGGCTGAGATCCTGGAGAGCTGCTGCCAGTCTGAGTAGGCAGTACTGACTTTGATGGACCTGATTCACTATGGCTGCGGTCACACACAGTAGATAATCCACTTTCCAACTGGATTTTGCCAGTTCACAAAGTAAAATCCAGTTGGAAAGTGCACTGAAAGTGGATTGAAAGTGGATTATTTAGTGTGTGTGACTGCAGCCTATAAGGCAGCTCCATGAGTGTTCACTGTGATCAGAAAATGAATTTTTGGGTCAAAGAAGGGATCTATGCCTCTTGACTTTTCAAACATTGTCAGTAATGATTTTATACTTAATTATTTCATTACAAAGAAAGGAGTACTGTACCTTTTAAAAAAAGAAAAATATGATTGTTAAGTTGCAGAAATAAATGGAATTACATTCCACGTACCCAATTGACAAGTACATATTTGGGCAAACCGGAATTGGGGTCTTTCACCCTGCAGAAAGCGTACATCACTTTCCCACTGTTGAGTTCTTCCACCATCTCCTCCAGACCACCATCTATATATAATCATTTGACAAGAAAGAAAGAAAAGTAAAGTGAAAGTAACCCAACAGAGTCAACCAAAACCTGTCACGCAAGTACAGAACACTAGATGCACATATTGTACTATTACAAAGTGTAATTTCTATTTGCCTGAATTGATTACCAATAAGGGAGCTGGAATCCAAAGAATCTTTTTGGTTCAATGCAAGGGGCATGTTTGGCTTTCCCCCCCGCCATGAATATCTGCTTCTAATCCCCACACACCTCAAACTGTTTTGGAAAGTCCATTCTAGTTTGTGTCAAAGCAGTTTGCTGTGCCAAACAGGGACCTACAGTTCAAGAAAAAGGTCTTTGGGCTACAAGAACTAGCCCCACAGTTATCTGGACAATCATTTACATAACTCTACCAATACGGCTGATCTTCCACAACGTACAGAAGGACATGGAAAATTCCACATTCAAATTCCAGTTCAACTTGTGAAGCGTGCTAGATGGCATTAGACCAACCCCTCCCCAAACCCTTTCAGCCTAACATAACCTCCTGCACAGCTTTCTGAGAGAAAGGGAGCTAAAAATTGTTCAATGCACTATACTCTGAATGTGAAACAATGAAAATAGTTTCGGTAACAGTTACAAGCCACTATGAATTTATATTGGAAAATCCAGCTGTTGTGGTTGGTGCAGTTACCAAAGGAACATGTATAGGCACTATTGTTTAATTGAACCACTGAGCAAGGTAAAAATATTATTCTAGAACTATTGCAGCACTATTACCGAAGTAATCACAAAAACTAACCACTCTTGCAGTTGTCAAAGTTCCTACTGAAGTTGCTCAGGGAACACAAAGCTGAGTAGCAAGACTTAACAGTTATAACTGTTAATCAGTAGATTAGAAAAACAATAAGACCTAGCATATATTTTTAAGTGCAAGCTTCAAGAGTACAGGTACTTGAAGTGCAGTTGGAAGCAGCGGGCTGTTCATCTTCTTTTCACAGCATTGTTACCACCCCGCCACCACCCATAAAAACAGGCTTTCGCCCTCCGATTCCCAGCATTACCCTTGGCTCATACTACCTGCCACAGTCCCAACCATTTCACTCTTCACTGCCAAAAGACATCTAAGTACTACAGCGACAAAATGCACTCTCTGCACAATTGAGACATTAAAGCATCTCTGGCTGATTTCCATAATTTGTGCATTTAGATTTTCACAGCAGAACCTGAGGGCGTGTGTCTTGGCAGAAACTGGTATCCTTGATGCAAGAAAGTGGTACAATCTGACAATCTCACTTGCAGTCTGGATCTAAACGTGTTTCCTCAGAAGGAAGCCCCACCAGGTTCAATGGGATACAATTTCCTGTTAAGTAAGCTTAGGACTGCAGCCTTAAGAAAGGATATTTTTTTCTTAGAATTTGGTGTAACGGCTTCAAAAGGAAATGCAGTTTCTCCACAAAGTGGTTCCTCCCCTCCCCTCCCCTCCCACGAAACAAACCTATTTCCACTCAGTAAACCTTTTCTTCATGCAATAGAAGACTTCCTTCAAGCTGTTTTAACAGTCAAGAATTTTAGTTCCTCTAAATAGGAAGCAGCCATCCGCAAACATACAAGATGTGAACAGACTGATACTTTCGGTCCAAGCCACGGCTGACTTTTTACTTCTCCTCCTTGGTAATCTTCCCCAAACGAAGGTTAGTGAACTACTCAGCGCTGTCAGCTACTTCCCATTTCTACAGCTCAAAAACAAAAAACCTACATGATCAATGTTCCTGAATTGAGGTTCTCTTTTCCACAGACCTCCACACTGGAAAGAGGCCCAATGCCCTTAACAGTTGTATACAAAGAATAATTTCTGTTGATGTTGCATTATGATAGATAAAGCAGCCCCAGAGAAAAACCTGCACCTGCCAGAGGTTTTCTACACATGATAAAAGCATCAGAGTCCAGTCTCCAGGAAGAAAAGACTTGGTAACATCAAAGAATGTTAACTTTAAAGCCGCAATATCACAATTTGATTTACATCACACCAAATCAAGATTTCCACTTTATCATAGACTAAGAAAAAGGCCCATTGTGGAAATAAATACAACGACCTCTAGAAAGAGGCTCTGGGCGGGTGCCCCGGCCTTGGACACTCAGTGTCAATTTGCTGTGGCGACCTCAGCAGGGTATAATGACACTGAGTCCACCATTTTCTCCAGAGGAACTGATCTCTGCTACCTAAAGAACAGTTGTAATTTTGAGTGATCTCCAGCTCTCACCTGGAGATTAGCAACGATGGTTCCCCAGAAGGGAATAGTTGGTTTGGAGGGTGGAGTCTATGGCTTCGTACCTGTCCGAGGTCCCACACCTCCTGAAACCTCACCCTCTCCAGGCTCCATCCCTCACCTCTCCAGGAATTTCCCACCTGGAGTTGGCAACCTTATCTCCTTCCCAGCCAATCAACAACCTACCTTTATTTCCCCCTCACTCTTCAGCTTTCCACCCCCCACACACCTGCAGCCTCTCCCCTGCTCTGAAGCTCTGACTGCTACGTCACATTGGCTGTCATATGGGGGCCACCTCAGCAGCATATAAGGATACAGAGCCCACCATTTTCTCCAGGGGAACTGATCTCTGCCATCTGGAAAGCAGTTGTAATTCTGAGTGATCTCCAGTCCTCACCTGGAGATTGGATACATTTTACCTCAGAACAGAAAACTGTTTAGAATGTTAGAGGCAAAAGCCAATCAAATCGCATATGCAAATGACCTCTGTGTTCCGAGGCAAAGGCCAATGAGGCTGCATATGCAAATAACCTCTGTGTTCTGATTGGCTATGGGGGGGGAGGAACAGCAAAATGTTTAGAATGTTGGAGGCAGGACTCAGGCAAAGCAGCCAGTGGATAGGGAGACCCTCTGAATGACAGATCAGAGAGCGAACTGATTTTGGAGCGTGTGGAATGTTCTAGAGAAGTGCCACTACCATACGTTTTTTATCTATAAGGGAGATTAAAAGCCACGGTTTGAGTTTCCAAACATAAAGGTAAACTACAGCATGTTTTAGCTCCATTTGTCAGCTTTCATCTTCCATTTGCTTGGCGCTCCAACTGCTATAGCACGGGGACCTCCTGTGTGTATGTGTGCTGAGTGCTGTCAAGTTGCTTATGGTGACCCTATGAACTATTAACTTCAAAACGTCCTATTGTTAACAGTCTTGCTAAAGTCTTGCAAACTGAGGGTCATGGCTTCCTTGACTAAGTCAATCCTTGACTGAGTCAATCCATCTTATGTTGGGTCTTCCTCTCTTCCTGCTGCCTTCAACATTTCCTGGCAGTATTGTCTTTCCCAGTGACTCTTGTCTTCTCATAATGTGACCATAATACAATAGCCTGAGGTACAGCAATACCCATAAGTCTGATTTGTCAATTCAAAACAGCAGGCCAAGGCTATGGCTTCTGATTCTGGTTTACATGGCTGAAAAGAATGGTTTGTCAATACAGACTGCCTCGCTAACCAGTTATACTTCCTCAGCTCTGGTTAGATCTGGATGAAGAAACTGTGTACACATTTTGGAGGAGAAAGTTTAATGTGAAGTTTCTGGCCTTTATATATATACTTCAACCAATCAATGCATGATGGCAATAGTGACGTTACAAAATTAATGCAAGAATGCGCTTTGTGCATATGGTAGACTCACTGTAATTCAGGATCTCCCCTTTTACTCAAAAGTTTGTTAGTACTTAACACTAATAACATGCTGTTTGACCCTGCCACATTATATGTAACATCTCACACATTAAATACAATGTTAAATCAGGCAACCTGTCCAGTAGTCAGATGCAGATTGGCCATTAAGGACACTTGGAAAACATCCCAGTGGGCTGGGGGCCTGAGAGGCTGCCTACCCCCACTGGGGTCATCCCAAGCAAGGAGTGGCCCTCATCCCACTCTGGTCAGTTCTTGTAGTCACCACAAGGAAGCCAGCTGTCCCAATCCTGCATAGGGTGGAACAGCAGCTGCCACTGCCACAAGGAAGACAGCTTCCCTTGCCTCATATGCAGGGAAGCCACTACTGGCACATGGGAGCCAGCTTTTGGTCCTTCCACCACTCTGCTTGGAGTGGGTATGGAGCCCTTTCCAGGGCCATTTTTGCATCCTAGTCCACCCCTGCTAGTAGTTCACAATTTCTTTCATCTTTTCTTGTATCCCTTAAAAATACACAAAGGTTGGCTTTAAGTTTTCTAAGTTTCACTTCCACATAACCCAAGAAAAACACTCAGGCCCCGGTCACATGGCAAAGTTGCCATGGGAGAGGCACGGATGGTGGGCGGATTATCTGGGCGTGATCACACCCCAACATCTGGGAAGTGGAGCGCACCCGTGGCTTACTGCCGACAATGCGAGTTAAAAAACTAGTACCTCCAAGGTGCTAGTAAACATTTGCCACAGGCTGCCTCCAGACTCCCGTGGTGTGATCGCACCGGCACACGGCATTCCCCTCCGGTCCCTCGTTTACCCGCCGGCACCGAGGGAAGGACCCATGGTGTGCCGCTGGCGCATCTTATTGAATAATCGCGGATCAAACTGTGCCGGGGCAATTAGCCACGCCCCCCCGCAATATTCGGCCCGTGTGACCGGGGCCTCGGTATATTTTGTACTGCTTCTTTTCCACTGTCAGAGAGAAGGGATATTTCCACATTGCTTCCCACGCTTCATTTCACAGGGCTGGGTCTGGGACACTTCCCAGGAACTACCTTGCGCCTGAACAAGCAGCAACAGGCATAAAACTAAAGGACTACTCCTTTCTTGGTGTATGCAGAAAAGAGACATGCAACTGGAACACTGTCAAACAGATGCCTCAACTGGATCATGTTGCAAATTGTACATATATAATCATAAGCCAGAAGCAAGTTAGGTGGGTACCACCCGAGCCAGAGTTAAACAAGCAATACAGTCTTCTCTAGACATATACTCTCAGCCATTAAAAAAAAAAAAGTTAATGTCACACATACTGAGATAAACTTCCCAAATATACTCACCTCCAGTACCAGCCACTCTCAGGTCATTGCTGTTACCTTCATAGGTAAACAGGGCCCTTAGGAAGACAAAGCAAACACTGAGATAAATCAAAGTAACTATTTAACTCACACAATCATAAACAATTACATTATCAGGGTTAATATCTTCATATTACCCTGCTTCAACCAGTGTTCCCTCTAAGCTGAGTTAGTGTGAGCCAGCTCACAGTTTTTTAGCCTCTGGCTCACACATTTTTGCCTTGGCTCAGGAAGGAGGGATCCAGAGCAAACTAATTTATGCAGTAGCCAAATCGCTCGCTCACAACTGTAATGCCAGTAGCTCACAAAGTAGAATTTTTGCTCACAAGACTCCACAGCTTAGAGGGAACATTGGTTTCAACAATTATCCATGGACATCTTTAGGGCAAACATGGCTATTCATTTCTGTTCCACACTCCTGTGTGTGTCTCTCACTATTTTCACTTTGGTCCTATCACACTCATGCTATGCTATTTCCTGCTAATTCCTGACAAATTCCCCCCTCTCCAGGACCACCCTAGCTGCTGGCCATCCCATTCTCATGTGTAACGTCATTCCTTCATCTTCCTACTTCCCAAAATTTCCATACAGAAGCTCATACAATTAATAATTCTCTTTAAATTGCCAACCAAATTGCATCTTTGCCTATCTAAAGATCAATTCACTGTGAGTATAACCTCTGTCATACACAGGTCAAAAAGTTTTCATTACAGCTTCCCTACTACATGCTAATGGGCATATTTTCTTCCTTACAAGTTCCTCATTACACCGATTCACCTCCATATCTGCTTAGCTATGATCCTGGTGGCGGGGGGGGGGGGAGAATTGCTTTGATTTTCCTTGTTTGCAAAAGGCTTTCACACGGAAAGATACTGCATGCTTATCTGCACATGCCACAGCAGTTTCATTTTGACTTTAAACAGCACTCATAAGCCACTGTGACTTTGCAACCCTCCCTGAATCTCTGTTGCAATATGGTTTACAATATGCATAGGGCCATTGCCTTTAAAAACCAAACAGTGCTTGACAGAAGCATCACACAGGCCTAGGAAGAGATTAATACAACCCATGCCCCTAACATCCAGACCCCAGGTACTTCTACTCCCACCAAACTGTCTAACACTAATGTGCAGCAACCATGAAGCAGAGTGGCTAGAGTGTACAGTTGGCCGGGAGAGGCCCCGGCCAGCCATGAAGTTTATGAAATGACCTCGGCCTAACCACATTCTGTCGGATTTTCATCCCACCTTTTCTCCCAGTAGCTCAGGGCAACATATATCTATTTACACGTTTCTACCCAGCCTTTCCTCTTGGCTCATGGTGGCTTCCGGTAATAACAAGTTAAAACCAAAATAAAATAACACCCCCAAAGTACTTCCTTCCCCATTCATAAACCATTAATCTCTCTTCCTCTTCTCTACTAATTTTATCATCACAACAATCTGGTGTGGTAGGTTAGGCAACAGTGATTCCCCCAAGGTCAGCCGGCGAGCTTCATAGCTAAGCTAATTGATCTGGTAAACCTTTGTCCAACTCTTTCTGCAAAGAGCCCAGGGCAGTGTACACAGCTCTCTCTTCCTCCATTTTAGCCTCACGATAACCTAGTTAGGTAGATCTAGGGGTATACAATCTGTCCAAGGTCACTCAGCAAGCTCGGAGGCAGAGTGGGGACTTAAACCCAGGTCTCCCATTCCAGTACTGGTGTAAGCAGGGATTTGAAGCAGGATCTCTACAGTCCAAGCCCAACACTAGCTATTGCTCCGCACTCCCCAACTCAGAGGGCTGCTTTGAAGAAACCATATACACCATTCTTGGTTCCTTGGGGGAAAGGCAGATTTAAAAAAAGGGGGGGAGGTTTATAATTTAGGGCTCCCCTACAAACACCCCCCCAGCCTCATCACATTTCACAGCCGCTACCCCCTTCCCATAAGCACCCCGCCATCACCAGCCATCTCAGACCCACATCTCTCTGACGCGCACAGCCATTCGGTGCGCACTGAACCGTGCCTCTAGCCCTCACCACACCCACCGCCCCAGGTTCAAGCCCAAGAAAGCCCCGCACCGCTTCCTCCTCCCCGGCGCCCCATGCCCAAGAGTGACTCAGCCCCACTCCTCCACGGATGCCTCCTCAGGTCCCCCGCCCGCCGATGGAGCCGGCGCCGGTCCCCGGGACAGGAAGGCGAAGGGAGAAAGATGGGCGGGCGGGCAGGCCCCGCGGAGGGGCTCTAGCTCACCAGTCCGTCGGGCTCGTCGAGGCCACGACGCGGCCGTAGGCCTCCTGCAGCGCCGGCCCATTTTTGCTCAGGTTCAGCGCCATGGAGGAGCCGTCGCCACTACTACTACCACCACTGCTGCTGCCGCCGCCTCCTTCCCGCAGCCGCTGGCTCAACCTTCGCCGGTTTCCGGCTCCGCCTGGCCTGGCGCTGAGCGGAGGAGACCTGCGCTCGCTGCTACTGCTGCTGCACTGGGGCGGGGACGAGCCAGGAGGCGGGCAAACCCACCCGCCTGTTTGCCAGGGTGGTTCACTTGGAGTTCTTCGCCTCTTCGAAATGGTCTGGAGGGAAGGGAGAGGGGGAGAGCTACAAGTCGTCGACAGCCGCTTAAGAAGACGCTTCACACCTCAGGAAGGAGCAACACCCAACTGGCCGCATGCCTCAGAAATTACGACTGCCAACCAGGGCTCCCTCTAAGCTGTGGAGTCTTGTGAGCCAAAATTCGACTTTGTAAGCTACTGGCTTTAAAGTTGTGTGCGAGTGACTTGGCTGCTGCATAAATTAGTGGGCTCTGGAGCCATCCTTCCTGAGGGAAGACAAACATGTGTGAGCCAGAGGCTAAAGAACTGTGAGCTAGCTCACACTAACTCAGTTTAGAGGGAACATTGCAGTGCCAACATCCAGGTGGCAGCTGGAGATCTCCCGGAATTATAAGTCTCGCTGTCCCCTGACCATAAGAGGCTTCACACCTCAGGAAAGAGCAGTAGCGCTGCCATATTCCTCGGAAATTGGGTTGCCAACCTCTAGGTGAGGGCTCAGATAGATGTCTCCCGGAATTACAAATCTCCAGACTACATCGATCACTTATCTGTAAATTATTTAAGATGGGTAGCCCTGTTAGTCTGTTCGTAGCAGTAGAAAAGAGCAAGAGTCCAGTAGCACCTTGAAGACTTAACAAAATACACAGCACGGTGAGAGCTTTTATGAGTCACTGCTCACTTCTTCAGCTCATACCCTGCCACATATTTTGTTAGTCTTTAAGGGAGTACTGGACTCTTGCTCTTTTCTACTGCAGTGTATTGTTTATTTACTTAAAACATGTATTCTTCTGGAGAAAATGGCTGCTTTGTAAGGTGGTCTGCATGGCTTCATACCTCACTGAGGTCCCCCCCTTCCCTAAACCCCACTCGCCCAGGCTTCATCCTCAGTCCTCCAGGAATTCCTGAACCCAGAATTGACAACTGTACTAGGAAAGCTCTGCTTCTCATTTTATTTACTGCTTTTTAAAAACAGTCCCATGCTTTCTCTGACGAGCTCAGAATGGCACTCATGGTTGGTTGTCCTCTTTTTATCTTCTCAACAACCCTGTGGGGTTGGTTAGGCTGAGAGAGACTGGCCCAAGGCCAGAGAGTGAGCTTCAAGGAACAGTGATTTGAACTTGGTTCTCCCACTGTGACATTCTAACCACTCCACCATGATGGTGCTCTTGCACCCAGGGATGTCAAGAGCTGCCAAGACTGGCTATCAGGAGGTGACCAAACAAGAGGACAAGCCCTTACATTGAAGACAAAATTTGCATATGCTAATTTAAATCTATACACAAATGTACACATAATTACTACAATTTAAATAAAAGCACAGCTCATCATAGTGCAGATCTCAGCTATTTGAGTGACAGCCTCTCATTCCAATGTTCAACAACAACAAAAAAATCCCTTCAGACAGGAAATGATACTTGAGCCAGTTACTGGGAAGAAGCAGAGCCTGAACATTTCAGAGGACAGGTCTCAAAAAAAAGAAAACACCTAGCCAACATAATGGCCCCCCAGATGAAGATTCCTTCTGCCCCCCCATATGCCAAAGCAAACCTGCTCAGGTTCATACGCCCTTCGTGACTAGGGTCCCTGGAGTTGGTCTCCCTAGTTCCCTCATCTCAGCAGCCCTGTCTGAATGCTACCCATGTTCCATCATAGAACTCAAAATGGCATAACTAGGGTGCCCAGGAGTTTCCATTCAGGTATGGAGCAGATCCAGTTCTGCTAAGCTTGAACACATGAATCTGCCCAATACTGAATTGGACCCTTGGTTCATTGAGGTCAGTATTGTCTATTCAGACAAGCAGTGGCCTTTCTCAACATCTACTCCTTGGTGGTCCCTTTTGACTGGAGGTGCCAGGGATTGAACCTGGGACCTTCTGCATACCAATCAAATGCTCTGCCACTGAGCTACAGCCCCTCCTCATGTGCTTCCAGGCTATACCTTGCCCCTGTAGTTTTAAGGGATGTTGACTGTCACTTCCTTCCCCCCAGGGTGGCTAATGTCCCGATGGAGCCTGGAGTACTCAATTACAACTGGTCTTCACACTACAGAGATCAGTTCACTTGGACGAAATGGCAGGTTCAGCGGGTGGACTCTACATCATCATACCCCTGCCAACCTCCCTCCCATCCCCCAAATCCACCCTTCTCCTATGGTGGTGGAAAGGGCCATCAATTTGCAGCTGACTTATGGCAATCCCAAAGGGTTTTCAAGGCAAAAGACATTTAGAGGTGGTTTGCCATTCCCTGCTTCTCCCATCCAAGTAGTAACCAGGGCTGACCCCGTTTAACTTCCAAGGGCTGATGAGATCAGGTTCACCTGGGCCTTCCTGGTCAGAGCACTTTACCCATATACCACTCCCAAATTGCCAGGGATTTCCTGTTCCTTCCACCTACACATCTGTTACATTTTTATCCCTTTCTTCTTCCAAGGAACTGAGGACATATGTAGTACACAGAAATAATTTTAATCTAAGTCTAAGGTGTGGTTCACATATGCAACTAAAGAGGTGGCAGAACCCTGAGATGGTAAAACGGACCGTTCCACTTAAACTCACAGCTGATGGGTTCCAGCTTAGAATGTTCCTTTGCATAAGAAATAACTTCACGCAAATAGAAAATCAGAACAGTAGGAAGAGAGGTTCTGTCCCCCTCTTTGCTTGCTGTGGCTGTTTTATGTTGGCCGGGAAGATTTAACATAAAAGAGTATCCTGAAATGGGACCTTCCACCACCCACAGTCGGAAGTGACCCGGTCCATTCTACCTCCTTTGGTCTCGGCCACCTCAGTGACTTCTCATTCCCTTACATGTGTGAACCAGGCCTAGGGGCAAAACTAGATGGGGAGGCACTCCATGTGCATTTATACATGCAGCCAACAATTTGCATATAAAGCAGGAATCTGTGTTTTAATGCACAGAATGAAGCATGCAACCGAGGGGATCTGAGCTTTGCCTTTATTTGCTATGCTCCACTGCTTTCAGCATATTTCTTCCAGCCCAGCTCACTTCTCATATCAGAGTCCTCTTGAAAGTGAAGTAAGAAGGGGTCAAAGTGTAGTTCCCTTCACCTGTGTATTTGTTTTAAAAATAGATTCCTACATCCGATTTAAGTGTTAATGGATGGATGTATCTATAAATACACATGGATTCCCCTTCCCATCACATCTGGTTTCACCCTTTGTATGCTGAAGGCATGTTCATCATTTGAAATTAAAGAACAATAACTACATTCCTTAGAACACAAACTGGTAACTTAGAAATGATCGTATGGGACAAAACCAAGAAAAGTGTATATTATATATGTGGCGCAGAGCTGCCCACTCTTGAAGCCACTGAGAAAGAAGACACCTTTGGAAATATTAGAGGGTCAAATCTGTATTTTAAAATAACAGCATCTATTATCTCAGCTAACAGTAAAGCTGTAAGCTTAATTTGTTTCAGATAACGACTTCAGCTATGCTACATCCCCATCCACAGATGTACCCCTAGAATAAGGCCTTTGAGTCAGGATTCACCAGTCCTGAATCATCAAAACATATTGGGAAGCTGTGAAGTTATAATAAACAAAGAGGATGCTTTCATCCATATACAGAGGTGCCTTTTCTTTACAAGATATTGCCAGCCCCATACACATGGGACTAGTAAGAAACAGATTCAAGTCAGAGGACATAACTGATAAAACAGCACTTTAAATTATACCAGAAATCAAACCATTTCATTTCTCCATTGCATGTTTATTAAACAAACTATTTGTTTGTAACTGCTCCATCACTTTAGTTTCCTCCTTCAGGTCCTCCATGATCTATTTAATTCTAACGAATAGAAGTAAACAGTTATTATTAGACTGTAAATCTTCAGCCAGGGCCATTGAAAAAACTTGTGTAGTACTACATGGTTTATTATATTATTATTTCACAATTCCCCACTTCCCTGATTACAGCAGGCAGTTTCAAGAATGCCACTACAGCATCTATTTCCTTGCAAGATATGGGTACTAGAGGTTACATTTGTAACACTGCTTATTTACAAATATACACATTGAACATGGTGAGGCAGACAAGTATCTGGACAGTGCTCATCTTTGAGACACCATTCATGCCCACAGAAGCAAACATGATATGCTCAGAGTACGAAGGCACCGCAGAACTCAGACTTCAGTCTACTTTTTTGGCTGAATTTATTTGTTTGTATCCTGCTTTTCTCCTAAGTCAGCATCCAAAATATAACACTGGTAATCACTCCTTCATTTTATCTTCACAACAACCTTGGCCGAAGGTCACTCATGGCAGAGTAGGGATTGAAACTGAGTCTCCCGTATCCCAAACTGGCACCATAGCCACTGCACCATACTGCCAATCATATTAGTGTCTCCATACAGCTTCAAAATAGTTAATTTATGGATAAGGAATGGAAACCAATCCTTGCTTTTCTCTAAAATAGTAAAAAGCCGAGTAGCATCGTTTAAGACTAACAAACTTTATTGTAGCATAAGCTTTTCAGAAACACAGCTCTATTTGTCAGATGTTTGGGGGGGTCTGATGAAGAGAGCTGTGTTTCTCAAACGCTTATGCTACAATAAAGTTTGTTAATCTTAAAGGTGCTACTGGGCTTTTTACTATTTTGCAGCAACAGACTAACATGGCTAACTCCTCTGGATCTTGCTTTTCTCTGTTATTTTAAAGCAATTTCTGGACTCTCCATTAGGTGGCAGAATTGATCCTATAGTAGGCTTTATTTCAGTCCTTTGGTTAACAATTTGCTTGGCCCTGCAGCGTCTTGAAACATTCTCTTTTATCATTGTGATAAAATGGGGAACCTGGGAGTGACCCTCTGTATATTTCTGTTAACAAGTGACTTCTGTATACAATGATTCTTGCAATAGGCAAATTATAAATGGGAGGAACTGGTTTCTTCCCATTTGAGCTCCTTACATATTTCTTTTAAAGCGTCCATGACTCCGTTTGAACTGGCAATTTATATTTCAGTTGACATGGTACTATTTCTCTGTGTCCTCTTCCACAGTGGTATACTCATAGTGGCAAATCACTCAATGAACCAACTCCTGATGTGGGCTTCTTGGTCAGCTACCAGCTTCTTCCAAACTATGGAAACACCAAAATTATCAGCCTGTGCGGATTTTTGTTTTTACCTAGTAACACTCAGAAATCAACAACAGAAATTGTAACCTATTGACACATTCTCTTTTACATCCCTGTCAAATGCTCGGGTGAGCCCTAAGACTCTGAGACCTAAGCCCATGAACTAGTACCTTAAAGTGGGTCACAGAATCCCACACGCTGGGTTGCAACTTGCAAGCCCCACAGGACTGCCAATTCCCCCCCTGCCTTTTGAGAGAACCTGATGCTAGTGTGCATGCACAGAGAGCAAGGACTGCTGTGCCTCCTTCCTCTTTGCACACATGCTGTGAGAAGAAGCAGGGTGGCAAGGGAGGTCACTCAGCAGCAAAGAGGAATCCTCCAGAACTTTGACCTTGGTTTGTTCCTCGCTACAGCCTACCTCTGGGTCCTGTCCCCCCTCCCCATTCGGAACTGAGTACTAAATGCAGCCGTCTTTTTCTAGGGATACCACCACAATGGGAAGCAAGCTGGGTGAACACAGGCAGTACAATAGGACTTCCAATCCCATTAATAAGTTCCATCTGGAGCGGAGTTCACCAAGGAACAGTCATTAAAAACATTAAAAACAAAACTAGATGATGATGATGATGATGATGATGATGATGATGATGATGATAGCGTTCCGTGCGCCTTGGTGTTTAGTCATGCCGGCCACATGACCACGGAAATGTCTTCGGACAGCGCTGGCTCTTCGGCTTTGAAACGGAGATGAGCACCGCAACCCTAGAGTCAGATTCGACTGGCTTTCAAGCAAGGGAACCTTTACCTTTACCTTAAGGCTCACTTTGTGCAATGGGACTTACTTACACAAGTATGCATGGGATTGCAGCTTAAATGTGAAGTATGCAATAGTGATTTAACTGACATGACTATTTAGTAGACATGGGCAGACAGTGTGCGGTGATAGTGATTTAAAACGGCAGGTGCAAACTGGAATGGAGAGCACCCTCCCTCGTCATTGCTCGAGCACCACCAAGTCAGAATGAAAATCACATGTGTTTTCCCTTTTACATGTTTCATTTAAATTTCATTTAAGTTTCATTTAAGTTTTCTAGTTTACCGAACTAGATTCGTGAAAGCAAACATTTAGACGTATGGTATGTATTACAAAAACACAGCATCTTGTCAGTTATTAATTCCTTTCCCTGGAGGTATGCCAGAGCCTGAGTCTGGGCATTTTTACAGAATTATGTAACACTTTTCTTCATGCTAGTAGCATCTGGCACTGTCAACACTGGATGATCGACACATGAAGAGTTGGAAGTATGATTCTTTGGGGGGATCAAGACTCAAGATGAGGTGGAGTGCGGAGACAAGAAGGGGGGGGGCTGGATAAATAACACAAGTTCCTCAGACCCTGAGGCACATCCCAGCATATAATTTGGAGGCAGAGACTATTGCAGGTCAGGATCAAAATCAATTCATTATGCCCTCCTGAATTGTTCAGTTTTGCATCATTTGGAGAATGCCAGGAGACTGGAAGCATTCCTGACCTCCTCATCTTGCCCACCTGCAGTAGGCCCTGATTGGATAAGCAAACCTGTAACGGTGGAGCATAGGAGGAGAAGATGGTCCTGCAGATATGAGAGCCCAAGGCCATGAAGGATTTTGTATGGGGTAGCCAATGCTTTAAATTCAACCCGGTAACTGATGGGCACTCTGATAATAACTGTTCACTCTTAGCCATTTAACCACAGCAGACAGACGATAGTTCAGGACCTCTATCACATCACCAGGAGATACAGAGCTGGGTGTCATGAGCATAGTGATGACAACCAAC